GCCACACTCGCGTGACTTTTTCCTGACTCCCCCTTCCACATTTAATTCTTTTTTTTTTAAATTTTATTTTATTAATTTTAATGAACGTTTACGGAGATTTTTAATTTCCATTCATTCATTGTTGCATTTTTCTCCCTGCCCACCCCTTCCCCCAAGTTCACTCTTCTCTTTGAAAAGTAGAAGATAGATTCTCTCATTGGTATACAATCACCCCAGCCCCTGCCCCAGTACACTCCACTGTGCAACCTTCATTCTGGACTCTTGTCATAACCATAATACCGAATCATATATCGCTTTCAAACAGTTCTCTCCCTCATTTGTTTCAATACAGTATACATGATTTATCCAATCTTTCTCAGTCTCACCCCTTTTACAACAGTGGCACCATGCAGTATCTGTCCTTTTGTGACTGAGATATTTCACTCAGCATAATGTCCTCCAGCGTCACCCATTTTGAATAATATTTCATGAGTTCCTTGTTTTTCAGTGCAGCGTAGTATCCTGTTGTGTGAATATACCGCAGCTTCTCTATTTGTTTGTTGATGGGCACCTGGGTTGTTTCCAACTCTTTGCTATTGTGAACAAAGCTGCTATAACTATGGGTGTGCACACATTTAATTCTTGCGATTACATCACACCCATCAGATAACCCAGGATGTGGGCAGTGGTGGTAGGTGCCACCAGGTCAGTGGTGACTCATAGCAGCTCCGTGCACCCCTGTCCTCACCAGCCCTGCACTCTTGCTGTGTGGAGACCACCGTCACAGCCACTGCTGCCAGCCCGTCTCGTTGATGGCCTTCCTCGTTTTTGTTTACATTGTGCTTTATGGAGCACAGTGGCCTTCCCCAGGGACCAGCCCCTCCTGGTGACGTGTCCAGTGTCCGTGAGACGAAGCCACCCTCACAACTAAGGGCATTTTGATTGTTCGTCCTCCAGGACATACTGGCTCTGTTAGGATAATCTCTCACTTTTAGGGCCAGCTGATTCGCAACCTGAAGTTCCTTTTGCCGAGTGCGGTAACATGTCCACAGACCATGGGATGCAGAGGTTTGGGGGGATTTTCCTGCACCACACTCTCCTTCTGTACCGTTTGTGTGTTTCTCAGGTATGTGTCCCACACACAGAGCCGTGTGCTTTCTGTGAAGGGGCCTCACACTGCTCGTCTCGTCCAGCCAGCTCAGCTTTCCTCACCCGACTGTAGTGACTCCTTCCCGAGAAGCGCTGACCAGAGTCCTTTCCATCCATAATTAATTAAGGGTTCCCGCAGGCATCTAGACTCGGTCCAGTGTGTCTGTGATAGGACCTTGTCCAGGAGTCTCTGTGACTCTTCTAGAAGTAGACTCGCTAAGTTAAGGGGTACAGGGTGTTCAGAGAGTGATGGTGCCACCCACCTACCCTCCCTGCCAGGTGTGCTGTAGTGACTCCCCCAGCCACAGTGCCCGCTTCACCACAGCCTTGCCAGGGATGGTGGTAATATCTTTTAATATTTATCAATCTTGTCTCAGAGCCTCATTTTATGTTTTCTTAGGCTGTGTTCTCTAGAGAAGCAAAACTCATGAAACATATGTATGTGTGTGTGAGTGTGTGTATTTACAAATGTATATGTTGTTATTATTATGTGCCTTCCAGTCGCCTGCGACCCATAGCTACCCTCTAAACAGTAACTCTGAAGCTGCCTTGTCCTGAGCCAGTCTCACTGACTGACACACCTACCCCCATTACCCCAGTTACGGTGTCAGTCCATCTCATCCAGGGTCTTCCTCTCCTGTGCTGTCCCTCACCCTTCTTGAGCATGACGTCCTTATCCAAGGACCAGTCCCTCCTGGCCACATCCCCAAAGTATGTGAAACGGAGCTTCAAAATCCTAGCCTCCATGGAGAAACTTGGTTTCACCCTCTCCAAGACAGACCTATTTGTTTTCTTGGAGGTCCATGGTATGTTCAAGACTCCTCTCTAGCACCACAACTCAAAGACATCTATTCTTCTTCTGTCATTATGTTTAAATACAGCCATGTATATACTTGTGTGTATGTACGTGTGACTATGTTGTATACAGTCGAGTTGGAACCAACCCATAGCTGACCCTCTGCAGGTTTTCAGAGGTAGTTAATTGCACTGGAGGAGATTGTCCATTTTCCCAGCACAGAGCAGCTTGTGGATTCAAACCTCACACCTTCAGGATTATACTTCATGGCTTAGGATAAGGAATTACACTGTCAACACAAAGGTACGCAGTTCAAATCTACCAGCTGCTCCACAGGAGAAAGGTGGGCAGTCTCCTCCCATGTGAATTACAGCCTCTGAAAATTCACTGGAGGGTCAGTTGTGAGTTGGTTCCTGCTTAGGGGTATGATAACTGTGTGTGTGTGTGTGCGCGTGCGCGCGCGCGCACACGCTCTGGTGGCCTAACGGTAAGGAGCTGCACCGCCAACTCAAAGGCATATGGTTCTGATCCGCCGGGTGCTCTGCTGGAGAAGGATGGGCAGTCTCCTCCTGTGCAATTTACAGCCTCAGAAAACCCACTGGAGGGTCAGCTATGAGTCGGTTCTGACTCCTTGGTACACAACAACAGCAGTGTATATACGTTTTGGTGGGTTTTTTTTTCTTCTTTCTTTTTTAAAAATTATACTAGTTTATTTACAAAATCCAAATACACTGCTTCTCATACCAGTTCCTTCCCATTTTCCTAACCACCCAAACATCAAATTATGCACCTTCATGATTAATTTCCCCCTCCCTCTGCTCCTCCTCACCCCTCTGGTTCCCCCTCCCCCCTTCCCTAGGATCCTCATACTCTTTCTACAATAATGGTTTTAAACAGTAGTTGTCCTTATGAGACTGCGTTAGTTCACTCAGCATAATGCTCTCCGGTCCCTCTCAAGTTAGGTAGTAATTTACAAAATCATTGATGCTGTGTGCTGTGTAATATTCCATTGTGTGACTGTACCTTGATGTCTCAATCCATTAGCTTGTTGTTGGACATCTGGGCTGTTTCCCTCTTCTTGCAATGGTGAATAACGTTGCTGTGGACACTGGCGTATGTATTTACGTTTATAGATATGTTTCTAGAGAGACCTCTGGTGAGTAAGGAGTTGAACTGTTAATCCAAGGGCACAGTTCAAATTCACTAATTACCCCGTAGGAGAAAGATGGGCAGTCTTTACCCATGCTATTTACAGCCTCACAAAGCCCACTGGAAGGTCAGCTGTGAGTCAGTTCTGACTCCATGGCAATGAGTTTGAGTTTCTCTGTGTGTGTGTGTGTGTGTGTGTGTGTGTGTGTGTGTAATATGAACAGAGAGTGGATCAGTGTGGTAAGGAAAGCAGGAGAGAAGGACAAAGAGAAATTTATCTCAAGGAGGTGGATAACAAGTCCCAGGTCAGACCTAAAGAGTGATGTCTGGGGAGCAGTGACTCAGGCTGCTGGCTCCGGAGACTCCCCGCTTCAGAGGTTGTCATGTCCAAGGTCATCACTGGGTAAAAGGGTTACATACTGCTGGCTTCGGAGACACCAACTGCTGGCTCCAAAGAGTGGCATGTCCAGATTGTTGGGAAGCAGGGTCACGAATGGCTGGCTTTATATACTGACGAGTCCGGAGTTGACCAGTATGGTGGGCCACTAGTTCAAGCCCCAGAACCACGAGTCAGATAACCAGATGTGCATGTGACAGGAAGTGCTCTAGCTTTTTTCTGGAGACCAAATATAAGTACCAACTGGGAATGTAGGTCACGCCCTGGGAAGACCTGCCCTTGACTAGTTCAGCTGCCGTATCTTCACAGATCTGCTGTAGCCTGCCTCATGATGTTCACGCTGTTGTGAAGGAGTCTGTCTATCACACCTTTCTCCTGGTCACCCACTCGCTCTGCTCTCGCTGTCCTAGCTCCGTCTCCCGGCAGTCTCCTCTGCCCTGTGAACAGATGTGAAGCCTGCGCCAGCCTCACCCTCTCCACCCTGCACGAGCCCATTGCACAGTCACGGTGTCAGTCCTCCTCGTTGAGGGTCTTCCTCTCTTTCCCTGACCCTCCACCTTTCCCAGCATGGTGTCCTTTTCCAAGGACACCCCTCCTGACAACATGCCCCGGGTCTGTGAGAAGGAGTCTCACCACCCTTGTCTACAACATGTGGCATGGTCACTTGGCACTGACCATCATGGCCTCATTGACACAGTTTCAGCCACCACATATGTCAGCCAGGTCAGTCCACTTACAGGCACCTGCCAGTCAGGCCTGGTCAGGACTCAGGACACTCCAAGATCAACACTCACTTCCTATCCTCAGGGACCATACGACCTGGCAGAGGCAGAGCTGTGGGGGCAGAGGAAAGACAGAGCTAGGTCAGAGCACAGCAAGCTGGGGGAGAAAGGTGTGAGAGAACCTCCCAGAAGTGGGAGAAACATGCACTGAAGCCGAGTGGGGCAAATGGGCAAGGGCAAGGCTACTTCCTAACAAGTGGGGGTTCTAATCTACCCAGAGGCACTTTGGAAGAAAGCCCTGGCCATCTGCTTCTGAAAGATCACAGGCATCACAAACCCTGTGGAGCACAGCTCACCAGGAACCCCAGGGTAGAATCGACTTGACTGTAGACATCTCTTCTCCAGCTCAGAGATGTGAATTATTGTTAGGGCCTTGAAGCTGCCTGGCAGGGGCTAATGCTATGAAGGTCCAGTGGGAGCAGGGCTGGCCCTGCAGGGTAGGGGTAGGTGGATCAGGTGGCTGGAAGGGACTGCCGTGATAGGTGGCCCAGAGAGACGTGGGGGAGCCTGGACCAGCACAGGCCTGCCCCTGAGGCTTCTCACCTGGAATCCAGGTGACCCACCCCAGTGGTATGACCCCTACCTGCAGGAGGCGTGTGAGCGCAGCCTGGCCGAGATGGAGTCCTCCCACCAGCAAGTGATGGAGGAGCTGCAGCGGCACCACGAGCGGGAGCTGCAGCGACTGCAGCAGGAGAAGGAGTGGCTCCTGGCTGAGGAGACAGCAGCCACGGCCTCAGGTCAGGACCCTGGGCCAGCAGTGCGGGGAGTGGGCGCCCTGAGCTCCAGGCTGTGCTCCTCCTATCTGCATTAGGGAGGCCTTGTTGGCGCAGTGGACAAACATTTGGCTGCCTACCAAAAGGTCGGGGGTTTGAACCCACCAGCTGCTCTAGGGAAGAAGTGTGTGTCGATTGGCTTCCATAAGGATCACAGCCTTGGCAAGCATGTGGGAAAGTTTTCCTGTCCTGCAGGGCCAGATCAACTTGAGGACAGCAGGTTTTAAACAAGATACAGGCCCAGGGGCCCAGGCTCGAGCAGCAAGTCTGCAGGGACTGGAAGCTGCTCTAACCCGACTTGGAAAAAAGGGGAAACTAGGGCGCTCTGGTGGCCTAGTGGCAAGAAGCTGCACTGCAATCCCAGAGGAACACGGTTCAAATCCACCAGATGCTCTGTTGGGGACGGAGGGGCAATCCTGTTTTGACAGTACACACACAAAATAATAAATTTTTTTTAAAAGTATTTTTTTTTAAAAAAAAAGCAGAGACTGGGGCAGTACCACAATCCCCTGCCCCATAGGCTGTGATCCCTCTGCCTTGGGACCTGCAGCCCCTGAGAGGTTTACCCTCCAGCCACACTGAACCCTGGCTCCGTGCTTAGGACCAAGCCCCATGTCAGGTAGAGAGGTCAGGCATAGACCCTGTTACTATAGGATGCTGGACATCACAGTGTCGGGGAGTGACCCATGTCCCTGAGGAGGACACTGGGGCTCAGGAGGCACAGTTTGTGGGCAGCAGAGCTGGGCCCGCAGCTCCACTCTGACTCCAACGGTGTGTCCCTCCAGGGAGATGAAAGAGTCTCAGGCTAGAAAACAGAGACACGGGAGAGCTGTGCTGCACACCTGCACTGTGTACACCTCTGTGCGAGTCTAGAGCTACAGAAATGACCAAAGGATGCAGGACGTAGAGTTCACAACGCATTAGGCCTGGGCCTCGTGGTTCACCCAGACCAGTCCGCAGCCCCCATCCCAAGCCTTGGGGCCAAGCATGATCCACATTTTGGAGAGAAAACCCAGTGCATGCGCCCAGTATTAGGTACCCCTACCCACAGCAGGGCCTGGGCTCCACCCTCTAATTCAGCACGCTACTGTCTCTGCAGAGATGTTTATACAAAAGTTCACATGCATGTAGATAGGTTAATAAAGGCCATGATAGCCTCGTGTTCATTCAGGTCAAGAAATTTTTAAAAACATCAAATGTGCTGAGCCTTTTGTATTATAAAAGTATGGATAAGAGATTGTTGTTGTGTACTGTGGGGTCGAAACTGACCCATAGCTGACCCTCTGGAGGGCTTTCAGAGGCAGTTAATCACATGGGAGGAGACTGCCCATCCTTCTCCTGCAGAGCCGCTGGTAAATTTGACCTTGTGCCTTCAGGACTGCAGCGCGGCTTTACCCAGAGCCCTGTGTGCAGGTGGAAAGGCCTCAGTGCTTAGTAGCCCATAGTCTGAAAATAAAAGCAGGGAGAGAGCCAATGTTTGGGTACTTACGTTACTGTACATTGTTCTAAATGCTTCACACATAGCTCCCAATAACGCAGGAAGAGAAACTTCTTGTGTTGTACCTGTTTCATGTATTAGGAACCCAAGGCCCCAAGGGTCAGACACTGTGAGTGGAGGAATTCCAACTGCAGAGCCTGAGCTTTTGACCACTAGCCAGCAAAGGTGGGCAGGCCTTTGTAAGAACCCACTAAGCTTCACAGGCCACCCAGCAGACTACCTTAACACTCACTGACAATAGGGGGAACCAGTGATGTCACATTGAGACGTCTCCTGGTGAATCTTTAGAGCAGGGATGGTGTTAGCCTTCCTGATAGAAACTCAGCGTGGTTTACCCATGACCACCCTTCGTGAAGCTGTCCAGAACTTCCCTGGTCTTTGCACACCACCTTCTGCTCCTGTCTCCAGGCCGCACGTGGAGAGCCAGAATGGGTTGAGCTTGGTGGTATTGACCCCCTCTAATCTTTCTTCCTTCTTTCTGCCAAACTCTTAGCCATTGAAGCCATGAAGAAAGCCTACCAAGAAGAGCTGAGCCGGGAGCTGAACAAGACACGGAGTCTCCAGCAGGGCCCAGATGGCCTCCGGAAGAAGCACCAGTAAGATGGCCCCTGGCCCTGTGCTCTGGGGCTGGACCTCCTTTCTGGGCCAGGGGCTCGGTTATGAGTTGGGGAGATTTGCCGAGGCCCCTTGGAGGGCATTGCCTCCAGCTGAGATTTCCATGGCGGTCACATGGACACAGGGAAGAGAAGCAATGAGGCCTTAGGTAGACATCCACACTGGTCCCCAGTGCGTTCTTCTTGTCTTGGCCAATCTCAGCTCTACCCTTCTTTTCTCTTTAAAGAGAGCTGAGTTGCAGTTTTGCCCTTGCTCAGGAGATATCTTTTCCTGACACAGAACACAGTTCTGGAATTTTGACTGTAGAGATTTGGGAGGTACCTAGAGAGAGGCCCAGATACCTGTTCACAGCCCTAGTGAATTGTGGGCAGAACTAAGGGACAAACCTGGTTATCTGGCTCTGTGAATGGTCTGGCTTCCAGCGTGGTCGAGGACAGGAGCACAGAGCCTGTGTCCTCCCCCTGCAGGTCAGACGTGGAGGCCCTGAAGCGGGAGCTGCAGGTGCTGTCAGAGCAGTACTTGCAGAAGTGCCTGGAGATCGAGGCCCTGACCCACCAGGCTGAGGAGCGGGAGCATACGCTGAGATGCTGTCAACAGGAGGGCCAGGATCAGCTGCGTCACAATCAGGTGGACCTGGCTCCGGGTCGCTGGGGTGGGACCAGGTGGGTGGACCCTGGCCTCCCTGCACTGACCACCACCCTACTGCCCTTGCCAGGAGCTGCACACCTGCCTGCTGGAGGAGATTGGCCGGCTGCGTAACTTCATTGCATCACAGGGCACAGACAACAGCTGTGGGCGCAGCGAGCGGAGCTCCTGTGAGCTGGAGGTGAGCGCCCCCATGCCAGGTGCCCAGCACATCCTCCTGCCCAGGGTATGGGGGATAAGCATCAGCATGGCTTGACCCTGGCCAGAAGAGCTAAGTAGGAGACCCCCACACTGTGTGCACCCGGCGCTGCGGGACTGAGAGTGAAAGCTACCCACCAGTTGTGTGACGTGACTTCCCCTCAGGCCTCCAACAGCTCATCTGTAAAGGGGGACTAGTACCTCCCTTACTACAAGAAAAACCCCAAACCAGAACCTGCTCCCCCAGGTGTGTTCTGACTCGCTGTGCTACAGTTTAGAATCGCACTGCAAGGCTTTCCTGACTGTATCTTTATGGAAACGATCACCAGGCCTTTCTTCTGTAGCACTGCCGGGCAGGTTTGAACCGCCAGGCTCCTTAACTGGGAGAAATTGAGGTGGAAAAATGTGTGTGATCTCAGGATCACCCGTGTCTTTTATTTTACTATTAATTTAACAAATACCCTGACCTGAGGATATGCTGTCTGGATCATCTATCAATCCTCTTTATCTTTTACCTCATCTAATCCTCAAGAAGTGCACTGAGGTACACATCATTACTGTCCCCATCCTACAGATGAGAAAATTGAGACACAGGATGGTCAGTACATTGTCTAGTCAGTGTGGGAGCTGAGATTTGAACCAGGCCATCTCAATGCAGAGTTAATGCTTTTAAGCTCCCTGCCCCCGCCCCTGGCTGCACCCCACTCTCTTCTCTGGTCAAATCAGCAAGTTACACTGACTCCTTGGGTTTGGGGAAGGTTTAGTGAGATGGCATGGGGCCCAGGCCTCTGGTTCATGGGGCTATGACATAGCTTCTGTTTGCCCTTTCTCCCTTCATTTGAGGCGATAGCAGAAGTGACCATGGGATGGCCCCTTACCTGAGCTGGGCAAAGCTGGGGAGAGGGCAAAGTTAGGAAAGGCCGGGGAAATCTGAGAGAGCTTCCTGGAGGCACCTGCCCCTTCATGGTGGGTCTTGGGGCCGTTTAGGTGGAGCTCAGAGCAGGGAGAAACTAGGCAGCAGGGAACTGAGGTCACTGCGGGCCAGAGGACGTGTGGCCCGCAGTCAGCCTGGTGCCCACCACTGCAGGTGCTGCTGCGGGTGAAGGAGAATGAGCTTCAGTATCTGAAGAAGGAGGTGCAGTGCCTTCGGGATGAGCTCCAGATGATCCAGAAGGTAGGTTCCGGCCGCCTGGAGACAGGGAGGGGAGAGTCAGGAGGAGTCAGGAGGGCTGGCCGGCAGGGATGGGAGAGTCAGGAGGGCTGGAGACAGGGAGGGGCGAGCACTGTCCCGTGCCAAGCCCTCTCTGTCTCACTTCCTCCACTGATGGAGAAACAGCCTCCGAGGGTCAGAGGCCCACCCACACTCGCTCTGAGGTGTTCCACACGTGTTTACTGAGCATCTCATCAGGCATGGGGGATGCTGGGATACAGTTGTGAACAGAATGCTCCAGGTCCCGGCCCACGTGGCCCACACGCTCTCTGAGGCATCAGCCCCACTGCTGGGTATTGGGGAACCCGCGTGGGCTCTGGGCCTGTGAGTCAGGCCTGAGCTGCTCTGACCCAGTGCTTCTCACACCCTCTGACTTTGAGGTCTGAGGTGAACGTGCAGGAGGCTGAACGTGCATGGCCTGAACCTGTGCTTGTTGCATGATAAGAGCAGATGGTGTGAGTTTAAGGATAAGGCCCAGCACTGGGCCCAGCAGGCCTGGCCCTTCCCTTTCCCTGTCATTTGCTACTATGTGCTCTCACACTCAACTTCATCCCCAGAAACCTCAGCCCTCATCTCTCAAGCTAGTGACGCTGGGAGGGGTGCCCAGGACAGGGGACACCTGGAGGCACGCAGCCCCAGGGCCTCATGGGAGCCCTGGCTGCTCATGCTGGCCACCGAGGAGGGCTTCAATCCTCACAGCCCCTACCCTAACCCCCGGCCCCAGGACAAGCGCTTCACCTCGGGAAAGTACCAGGACATGTACGTGGAGTTGAGTCACATCAAGACACGGTCAGAGCAGGAGATCGAACACCTGAAGGAGCACCTCCGCCTGGCCATGGCGGCCCTGCAGGAGAAAGAGTCGATGCGCAATAGCCTGGCCGAGTAGAGGTGGGCGCCTGTGGGGGCAGTGCGCTGGGGGACGGGCACAGGGCCTGGGGCCTGGCTGTGTCACCTTGGCCAGGACGCTTCCCTTCTCCTGGCCTCTGTTTCCCTTTCTGTCCAATGAGAACGATGAGACGGTGACCCAGCCAGCCTGCACCAGTCAGGGTCTTTATAACCAGAGTGTTCAGCAGTGAGGCTGGGTTAAGGATCAGATTATTGTCACTTCCCCTTCCTGTGACAGCAGTGCTTGGTACAGGGCCACAGCCCAGCCTGGCCGGCCAAAGCCCAGAGTGGCCGATCCAGGTGCACACCTCCACTCTCAGACCTGCCGCTGCGCACGTAGCACTGATCCATCCCAGCACCCTTCACCAGGCCTTGTGAAATAGACACCACTAATCGACATCAGCACAGTCAATCTTTAGCATGATTTGAAATGTTTTTACCACACTGGTCCCAAGGCCATGTCTGCCGGGAGCGTTGTCCTCCTTTTAGCCTGGTGGACAACCCTGAGGCAGGAAGGAGAGGCCACCATGTGGATCAACCTGTTCAGGGACGAGTCTGGGGGGCCTGGGAGGGGACAGGAAGACCTGCTTACCATCCTGGTCTGTCCTTAACGAGATGAGGGACCCAGGCCAAGACTGGGGAGCTCTCCAGCCCTTACCTCCCTTTCCTCATGTCCTCCAGGTCCTCGTGGGTCAGGTCAGCTGGAGACCCGCTAGCCCAAGGGACAAGCTCCTTCCTGCTGGATAAAAACCAGAAGCCAAGATTTCTCCCACCGCCTGTGGGCTGCACGTGCACTCGAACACCACACACACACACACACACACACACACACACGCGCGCGTGTACATAGACACATGCATACATACAACATCACACACACGTGCACATACACAGCGCAGACACAAGACCACACACACTGACACTCTGCGTATCTGAGCGCCCCCCTCGCACTGGGTCTTCCCCTTGCACCTTCTTCAGGATTTTATATGTGAAGAGATTTTTATATAGATTTTGTTCCTTTTTTCTCCCCCCTTCTAAACACTTTATACTTTTTGAAAAAAGCAATTCCTGGCGTCTCTGCTTTCCACACTGGCTCCCTGCCTTGTCTCTAGCTGCCCTGCTCGGGTTTCTGGGCCTGTGGCCCTGTGTCCAGGGTCTGGCAGAGGCCCAGGCAGTGACCATGGTGGTGGACAATGAGGAGAGAGGCAGGGAGCCAACCACCCTCACCCCACTCCACTTTCTACTAACTACTTCCTGCCCTGGGTACGCCCATACCCTGGGGTTCTGGACGGAGGGACAGATGGACGGAGGGGGCCAGCAGCTGTCCCACTGCCCTGCCTCCCTGTCTGAGGGGGTGCTGAGCATGATGCTGCTGGAGCCGCCCCATGAAGGCAGTTCTCTCCTCCCCAAACCTTTTTAACTTAATAAAATGTTCCAACAGCTCTGATGGCCTGGATGTTGACACTTCTTCAGTGACTTTCCTGAGGGGTGGCATGTGGGCTTCTGAGGGGAAAAGCCAGATTCTCCACAGGATGAATGGCATCAAGAGGACGTCATTGGTCCCAGCCGCATGTGCTGGCAGTGGCATGTGTGGGCTTGGCAGGCGTTCTCACTCCTGAACCCCTGCACGCCCAGCCCACTGTCCCATGCAGAGCTCTGGATGAGTTGTGAGGGAGGACAGAGGGCCACTTGAGTGAGCCTTCTCCAGGGCTGTCCTGTCAACCTTCCCAGTCTGTGGGCACCTCTTCTTTGTTGGGCACTCGTGCAGCTGTGAGCGGCATTTAACCCTACTCCAGCCAGGCCACAGACAGAGCAGGCATAGGTCCCAGGAGGCTTTGAGAACCAAGGGGAGACCTGTCTGCCTGAACGTGATGGAGGCTTTTGGGGTGTGACATCAGCAACGTGGAGTTGTCACAGACATTCCAAATGGAGCAGAGCAAGCCGATGTCCTGTGAACGCCTGGTAGATTGAGGGAGTGAAAGAGCCTGGAAGTGACCTGGTATGTGAGGAAGATCTGTCCCACCCCCCTGCCAGTGATTGCTTAGGAATGGTCATGAGATCTAATCCTAGCCAATGAGACGCAAAGGGAAGCATTGAATTATTATGGAGCGGTGACTGACTCAGCTGACCCTCCACAGCTTTCAGAGACAGTTAATCACAAAAGGAGATTGCCCATCTTTCTCCCCGGCAGAAATCAGCGGGCAGATTTTAACTGTGTGTCTTTGGATTGGAAGCTACCAAAGTTCCAGGGGTTAGTTGGACAGGTTATACTAGGATAGAGTTATTGGGGAAGATCTTCATTTTCTTAAATGGGGTCACAGGGAAAGGAGGGCTCCTTTTTTTTCTATAATTATATTTTATTAATTTTCATAAACATTTACAGAGATTTTGGGTTTCCATTCATTCATTGTTGCACTATTCTCTCTACCCTCGTCCCAGTTTGTTCTTGTCCAAATGCCACAGTGCTTGTCAAAGCCAGTTCTGATTAATCTTCTTTGTCAGTGTGTCCTTTGCCATTCCCTATCACTCCTCCCTGAGAGAGACTTCACCCTGAGTCATAAGGAAAAGGGGATGGCATATTCTCTTAGCTACTTCCTGCTGAAAAGGGACGCTGTGGGTTTCAGGGTGAAAATCTTCTCTCACTACTCTAAAGGGCCCCTTTGGCAGTAGGAGACACATAGACTATTAATGGAGATTGATTTTGGAATTTAGATGCACTCTTATTGATTGTGTTTGGCCGTACATGTTCATATCCTTGAAGATGTATCATGGGGGTGTTGCAACCTAGAAGACACAAATTTGACTAACAAGTTATAAGTACATGAGTAGGAGGGCTCCTTTTAAACCTCAGAAGCGATGGGTTTAAGACACATCCTACAGAAATAGGGTCTGATTAGTATAACAAAACCCTACTCCCCAAAGGTGGCGTAGTCACAATTTGTAGGGGTTAGCGTTTACAACGTGTTTTGGGGATACCATTCAGTGTATGCGGATGCAGACCTCAGGATGTCAGGGGAAGGGTCTACACTGGTAGGGAACTTCCTGGGGTGCCAGAAATGTGTCCAGATCTTATCTGGGAGGGGGTTGTGTGAGTGTGTACACGGATTGTGCACACAGATGCAAAACACTGTCCGATTGAACACAGAATTTGTACATTTCAGTGTCTAAATCTCAATTTTAAAAAATAAGCCAGTATTCTGACAATGTGTCAGCTGAGCCAACTGGGTTAAACCTCAGTCCTACAGGGAATTTGACAGAAGTGAGGTAATTGGGCCTCTCTGGTCTCTGGAAAGAGGAGAGGCTGTGCACCAAACGAACTCCAGCTTCGCCACCAGCTGCCTGTGTGGACTTGGCTGAGGACACCCCCCTCTCTGAACGTCTCTGAACATCCGCTAAATGGGTACAATAATGCGAGCTACACTGGGATGTTGTCAGGAGCTGTTGAGTTGGCTCCCTCTTCCACCATCCCTATAAACAAGTGGAAACCTCACCACAACAAGAACCTCGAACGTCCCACCTAGTCCTCACACTCGCCCCATGCATAAGGCCAGTGTTGCCAACACTGTCAGTCCCTCTCCTCGAGGGACTTCCTCTCTTTCTCTGACTCTGCCTTTCTCAGAACAATGTCTTTTCCAAGGACTGGTCCCTCCTAACGATACACCCACAGTGTGTGAGATCTGGTTTCACCACCCTTGCCTCTAAGGACCACTCTGACGGCACGTCCTCCAGCACAGATTTGCTTGGTTTTTTGCAGTTTGGTGAGTACCAACTCCATGATCCACAGGCATCAAGTCTTCCTTTATCTTTCTTATTGTCCAGCTTCTCAGATGCATTGGAAGCAATAGAATATAGCATTGCTTGCATCAGGACAACTTGCATTTCTTTATTTTTAAAAAATTTTTTTAAATTTATTATTAATTTCAATGAAAATTTACAGAGCCTTTGAATTTCCATTCATTCATTGTTGTACTTTTCTCCCCTCCCAACCCTTCCCCCCAGTATATTACCCTCTTGGAAAAGTAAAAGAAAAATTCTTTCATTGTTTTACGATCCCTCCCTCCAGGTCCACTCCACTATGCACCCTTCACTCTGGACTCCTGTCATGACAAAAATACCTAATCACATATCCCTTTTAAACAGTTTTCTCCCTCATCTGTTTCAATACAGTATACATTATTGAACCCATCCTTCTCAGTCTCCTCACAACCCCGAGGTCAGTCCTGTTTTACAATAATGGCACCATGCAGTATTTGTCCTTTTGTGACTGAGATACTTCACTCAGCATAATGTCCTCCAGGGTCACCCATTTTGAATAATATTGCATGAGTTCCTTGTTTTTCAATGCAGCATAGTATTCCATTGTGTGAATATACCACAGCTTCTCCCTCCATTCGTTTGTTGATGGGCATTGAGGTTGTTTCCAATTCTTTGCTATTGTGAACAAATCCACAGTAAACATGAGTGTGCATATATCTGCTTGGGTGTCAACGAACTTGCATTTCTAAATGGATGTGTTTGTTCTTTAGAATTTTGGCGAGGTCTTTGACAACAGTTTTCCCAATGCAACACATTTTTTGATTTCTTGACTTCCGCTTCCATGGATGTTGATTGTGTATCCAAGTAAAATTAAATTTTTTAACATTCATTGGACTGCCAAGAGAACAAACAGGTTTGGCTTGGAGATGGTGTAACCAAATTTCTCCTCTGAGACAAGGATTTTGGAGCTCTGTCTCACATACTTTGGGCACATGGCCAGGAGGGACCTGGAGAAGGACATCTTGCTTGGAACAGTGGAGGGACAATGAAATAGAGGAAGATCCCACATGAGACGGGTTGACTCAGCGACTGAGGTCGTAGGGAGAGGTGTGTCAGAGATAATAAGGCCGGCACAGAATAGAGGAGGGTTCAGAGCTGTTGTACATAGAGTCAATATGAGTCATAAGTGACTTGACAGCACATAAGAACAACCACCACCAAAGACCGACCCCTCATGCCCAAAGT